CGCAGAACTTCGAGTACAAGATGTCCAACATCCTCGACAAGCCCACCGAGTCCGTCTTTGGCTTCATCTCGGTGCTTCCCGGTGCCTTCTCGGCCTATCGCTACAAGGCGCTCCAAGGCCGCCCGCTTCAGATGTACTTCAAAGGCGAGAAGCTGCACTCGGGCGAGGGCGGCAACTCGATCTTCTCTGGCAACATGTACCTCGCCGAGGACCGCATCCTGTGCTTTGAGCTCGTCACCAAGGAACGCGAAGGCTGGCTCCTTCGCTACGTCAAGTCCGCCAAAGCCTACACGGACGTGCCGGACAAGGTGCCCGAGTTCATCTCGCAGCGACGACGTTGGCTCAACGGATCGCTATTTGCGTCCTACTATGCTACCTGGCACTGGTATCGCATCTTCCAGTCCGGCCAGCCCTTCCTCCGCAAGCTCTGGCTGCTCTTCCAGGTGATCTACAACCTCGTCCTGCTCGTCTTCAGCTGGTTCGGCATCGCCAACTTTTTCCTCGCCTTCTACTTTTTGCTCAACTCGGCCACCAGCACTGAGGGCAAGGATCCGTTCGGCGGGCAGGGCGCCGCCATCATCGAGATCTTCCAAAACGTCTTTATCGCCATGATCATTGTGGTGCTCGTCTGTTCGCTCGGCAACCGGCCACAGGGATCCAACTTTGCCTACACGTCGGCCATCGTCATCTTTGCGCTTATCATGGGACTGGTGCTGTACGCCGCTGGCTACACGACGTATCTGGCGCTCGACGCTTCCGGGCTCACACATGCGAGCGGATGGAGCATCAAGAATCTGGAGCAGCTCTTCAAGACGTCGGGCTTCCGCGACATTGTGATCTCGCTGGCGGCGACGTATGTGATGTGGCTCGTGTGCTCGATCCTGCACTTTGAGCCGTGGCACATGCTGACGTCGTTTGTGCAGTATCTGTTCCTGACGCCGACGTACATCATCATCCTGTCCATGTACTCGATGTGCAACACCAACGACCTCTCGTGGGGCACCAAGCAGTCCAACGGCCCGGCCACCGACCTGGGTGGTGCGACCGGCGCCGGCTCCAAAAAGGACGACCAGGGCCAGATGGTGGAGGTCAAGATCCCCACCTCGGCCGATGACGCCGAGGAGCTCTGGTCGCACTACCGCCAGACGCTTTCGCAGCCCACCGCCGAGGTCAAGCAGAAGCGAGACCAGGCGACGCGCCAGGAGGACCATGCCAAGAACTTCCGTACCAACCTAGTGCTGGTGTGGATGTGCACGAACGCGTTGGTGGTCATCATCTTTACTAGCACGTGGTGGAACCGTTACGTCCGCAACCACCTCTACGCCGGCGCCGCACGCAAAGGCCAGCCCATCGTCAACCCTTACCAGTCGTTCATCTTTTGGGCGACCGCAGGTCTTTCGGCGATCCGCTTTGTGGGCAGTATCGGCTTCCTCATCCTGCGCATGTTCGGGCACTAGAGCAAACCACGGTGTCACGTACCGCTGCGCTCCATTTGCTTTCTCTCTTTGTGCTGCAGTCAGAACATACGCTCCTTAGAACATACGCTCCCTTAGATTCGTATTGCACTTTGAACAATGCCATGTCTGACATTACTACTTTATGCGCGTCGCCTGATCCGGCTCGATAATGCTTGGCAGGAAAAGGATATGAGAATTATAGGCTTGCCTTCTCCGCGAGGTGGTCTGCCATTGTCGGGCCCTGGTACTGCACGGCCTTGTTGGCTTCGCGCCATTGCGACTCGGCCTGTGAGCCGGGAGCAGGATAGTCGTGCCCGCTGAGGCGCCAGAGGTCTGCTGCGGGCTCTTCGATGTGGATCTGAGTGGAGAATATCCGGATACAATAGAAGTGAGTCAGTTGTAACTCGAAGTGAGAAGCACACGAGGCTGTTCTTCAGCCAGGCCAGTGTAGCTTACCTCCCATTCGCAATTCTTTGCTTCCAAGACAGCTCTGAAGCGGTCTTCGAGCGATCGGATGGTGCGCGTGCGTCTCTCCTTGCCCTCGGCAGTGCGAGCGAGGTGCTGGCTGACAATGCGCACGAACGGCTTGCCTTGCTCGCTTGCACGCTCCGAATGGTTCTGCGTGCCAATGTAGAAGTCGTCCTCGTCGATCGGACAGAAGAGGGTGATCACGAGGAAAGCCGGTAGCCCTATACTGATGCTGACAATTTATGGACGCCGTCAGATGGCCGCCTCTTCATCTAGCTTGGTTCGGCACGCGCAACTCACTACATGCTGGCGATGCTGTCCACGAGAGCTCTCTTCTCATCCTTGGTGAAGAATCCCTGGGGAGTGTAGATGCGGTGAAGCGGCATGGCGAGTCTGTACAGAGAGGTCGTATGGGTGGGGATCAATGCGAGCACTTTATCGTCTCTGGATGGACAACGCTTCTTATAGGATGTCGACTCCGAGGTGCGCCAAAGGTCAGTGTCTGCGCCAGAGTCCAACTTCACGCGTGCGCATCAGCCGAACAAGATAGCTATGGCCTGTTTGTGCTGCAACCCACGCCAGGGTCCAGTTGGGACGGCAGCATGCAGCATGCCCCGCACAGCCGGAATTCCGCTCGGACTCCGGTCGCCTGCCACGCGGAGATTCCCACTCTCTCGGCATTCCAGCTGATTCCGGGTTGACAGATCGTCGTCATGACGGAGTGATCATGCAGCTCGCAGCGAAATCACACTGAGCCCGCAACCCGAGCGCTGTCAACCTCAACGTCGTGCGGGTTGGGCATCGACGAGCCTTCCGGGGCTTCACAATGGCATGAAATGCTTCAGCTTCGCGCGTTCAAGTCAGGTCGAATGCGCTCCTTTTCGATCTCCAGCCGATTTGACGATCTGACATGAAAACACCGCCTTTGTGCTTTTGTTAGGTCGCAGTCTGAGAGCTGAATCGTGTCTCCGCGGCGTCGGCTTTATCTTGGAGCCAGGCAGCTCGGAAATAAGTCGAATGAGGCGCATCTGCACAGCTGCATTTTCGGCTAGCTTCGCAGTCTTGACAGCTGCAGCTCCACATCCGACCCGGCAAGCTCGAATCAGGCGGTGGCCACCATTGGAGGTGCGGCTCCCAGTGCTCCTTCTTCGTCACTTGCGCGTGCCAGCAGCTCCGCGAGTGTGTGCCTTCGGCTCGGATTGGCCGCTTCCCGACGTCGCAGCCGGCACGCCAAGCCGAGGACCGTGGGAAGCCGCGTCAGCTGCTTGTGGTCAGAGCCGCGAGCGAGCTGCTGTCCTTGTGGCTTCCGATCCGCCCTTTGTTTCATTCGGCTGGACCCCGACGCTTCTTTGAAAGTGACCGACTGCCGACCCTGCACTGTGGACGCTGCTTCAGGTTTTGCGACGCACGACTCACCTTCAATGTCGGTGCTGCCGCCCCGTTTGTTCCCTTCCACGATCACGTCGCCTCTGTCGGCATCCTTCCGAACAGCATGGCCGTCACCACAGCAGCAGGCGCTGCTAACAAGTCGCGCTCGATGAATCGATCCTGCATACAATGCCGCGAGCGCAAGATCAAATGCGACCGTCTCGACCCTTGCAGCCAGTGCACCTCCAAAGGCGCCACCGATCAATGCAGACGAGAGCTTCGCAAAAAGAGGGCCAAGAACAAGCGCCCCTTCCCCAAGCGCAAGACCGGCACCGCCACAGCATCCACGCTCTCCGACTCCACGGTCGCCCGCTCCGAGCGCATATCGACAACGAGTAGTCCTGGCGCCCAACCCACATCCTGGGCCGACGGCTCCATGGGCTCTGCATCGCGTCACAGCCAAACCTGCCAAACGCCGTCCTCCGCCTCGGGCAAGGCTAGCACGCCCAACACTTCCTCGTCTGCTCACGACTCCAGCTACCTCGGAACGCAGGAAAAGCACACTTTCATCTCTTCCAGCCATCACCCCCGGTCTTCGGCTCCAAGGCAGCAGCAGCAGGCATCACTCCCTGGCGACTTGGACCTAAGCTCCAGCGGATCCGATGAGTCCGATGAATCCGACGATGACGAGGATAACGCTGAGCCGTCTTCACATCTCGACGACCGACTCCACATCCTCGAGGCAAATCAGCTCATGGCGCTCAACACCGCTCCCGAAGCCAGGTGTCCCTTTGCCCTCAAAGACGTCTACGCAGAATGGAAGGCCATGCCCCTCGACAGACGCCGTGGCCTTATCTACGACATTCGTTCAGCACTGCCTACTGTGGAGCAGTCGCTGCACCTCTTGCACAGCGTCTACGTCAAGCGCATCCACTCCCTCTATGGCAACGTCGTCCACGTCCCGAGCGTTCACCTCGTCCTTGCCGAGCTCCTCACCGATCCCAACTTCGAGATGCGTGAACGCTATGCGATGGGCCCCATTACCACGGCGCTTATGGTCATCTTTGCCGCGCTTCGCGCCGCTCCGCTCGACCGCAACTACACCTGGCCTGCACCTGGAAGCAGCGGCACGCACATTCAACCGCTCAGCCAGAGGGAAATCCGCCAACGCCAAAAGAAGATCTACATTCTCGTCAGACGCATCCAGGCGTTCGAGTCAAACTTCACTTTTGGCAGCATCTCCGAACTCCAGACTGCCGTCCTCATGCTCGCCTGTGGCAAGGGCTCGCCGTCGTTCTTCGACTCGCTCGCCGACTGCGCCATCCGTTCGGCTATGCGCATGCGCATCCATCGTCTCGGCTCCCTTGAAAGGATGCACAGTCCGCACGCTCGCCCCAGTCAGGTTGTCACCGGTGAAATGGCCGTCCGCTGCTGGTGGGCTCTCGTTCGCCGCGACTGGTCGCAGAGCAGCAAGCATCGCTCGTATCGCATCGCACCCTCGCAGTTCAACACACGCCTGCCGCTCAACCTGTTCGACGACGAGCTCATCACCATCCCCGTGGCCCGTTCCCATCTTCGCTCCACTTGGACCCCCGTAAGCTACTCGCTAGCCATCATCGACTTTGCCATCATGACCCGCTCCCTCGTCGATCACGTCAACTCGCACTCCGATCTCGACGATGCTCCCGCCACCGTCGATGGTTGGGGCCTTGCCGCCGTGTATGGACAGCGCCTACCGGCTGCACAGCGCGACTCGCTCGACCAGCTCTTTCAGTCGCTCATCTCGGCCTTTCCCGCTCACTATTCGCTCGATGCGCGTTACGATGACATCGCTATGGTCGATGTCGAGCGCTGGCTCCTCCACCAACGCCTCTTCCATCTCTTCCTCACGCTCCATATGCCGCTCATCTCTGAAGCCGCGCGTCCTCATGGCAGCCTCATGTACATGGCGAACCATATCCTCGACATCCAGGACAAGGTCTCCGGCATTAGCACGCTCCTCGACAATACTCGGGTCAATACGCTCCAGATGATGCGTGCATGCCTGGTGCTCTTGCTCGACCTCTTCTTCACCGAGGCACCCGCAAGGATTGGCGGTCTGTCGCGCCTCATGACGCGCAGAAAGATCACCGCTGCGCTCGAAAGGACTCCGATGGAGACGCTCTCCAGCACCACCAAGCTGAGCATACAGCTTGTCCAAATCCTTTTGCTCATCGAAGAGCAGCAGCACCGCTCGCAGACGGCGCTGAGTGCCTCGACGGCAGAATCGCCACTGCTCAACGGGAGCGCGCAAGAGGCCAGCGTTGGACCGGCCGTCGATGCCGCTACACTGCGCAGTCGATGGCATGCAACGTGCCAGATTCTCGACGTGCTGCTCAACGACGGTTATTGGCGCTCCTTCCGCAAGAATCTTTTGTCCCTCGACCACCTCATCCCAGACTGGCTCCAGCAGCCTTTGCGGGAGGGCGTGGGGACGATGCCTCAGAGCACGGTCCTGCCACGTTCGGTGGGTCCTCCCGCTGCATCCACGATCGTACCTAACGCAGCCTCAGAGCCGAGCTTCCCGGCACAAATCGAACGAGGCTTTGACGCTGGCAACGCCGAGGCCATCCTCGGACCAATCCATGACGCCGGCCTTCTCATTCCTTTCGACGCCTCGCTTTTCGATGATCTCGAGACCGCCGACCTTGCCACGGGCGATAACTCGTCTCCTTTGCCACAGCTCGACGTAGACCTGCTCGGTCAGCTCGATTTCGAGGGCTACGGCAACTCGTCCCAGTCGCTTGACTTTGCCAAGATGCTCATGGACTGGCGCGTCGACGTACCTCTAGCTTTGTGATCCCCTTTCGTGTCTTTCAGTCCTGTCCTTGTCCCCGCACAGCATCCGCATTCCATTCTGTATCCTCTTGTCCTGCATCGATCCGAAGTGTATTTCGGCGTGACTTCTCCAGTGTGCTTGCGAGAGCGGAAACGAGCGCAGCAGCTTGGCGTGGGCTCATGCAGTCCACACAAACTCGATCCGAAAACTCGGCGTGGCAGAAAGGAGCGCGTTACCACTAGCAGTACAGGGGTGGCTGAGGCAGAGACAATCACTTGGACTTGGCAGCCGAAGAGCCGTTGACGGCCCTCCACTGGGTGCGTGCGCCCATGATGGAGGAGGCGCAGCCTGCGAGGCCGAGAATGCCCTCGTCGAGACCGAGGATGTCGGCGCCCGTGGCGGGGATGAGCCAGTCGAGGGCGTCCTGCGTCATCTGGTAGCGCACAGCAGCCTGCTCGGTCGAGATCTGGGCGAGCTCGATCTTGCGGTCCGCCTCCTTCTCGGCGGTGGCGCGGGGGCGCTTGGCGCTGGCGGCGCGCTGCTGCAGCACGTACGTCTTGTAGCTGCCCGAGGCGAGCGAGAAGGTGAGACCGAGCAGCCAGAAGCGAGCTGCATTTTTCGAGATCTTGTCCGCGGTCGCCTTTTCGAACGTGTAGACCTTGGCACCGTGGATCTGTGAGGATTTGAGACAAAGCAGCCGGGCGAAAGGTAAATAAATGCACAGAGACGGGAACAAGGGAGCGGCTGCACGCATATACATACCCATTGGAGCGTGTCAAGGATGAGGTAGAAGCCGTAGCCAAGCTGACGGCCGATAGCGGCGTACGAGACCACGGGGTCCTGGATTGTGGTCGCCTTGAGCGCAGCCTGGAAGTGCTCGAGGAACTTGCCGACGCGCATCACTGATAAGGACGCAAGGGTAATCAAAAGTGGTCAGGAGCGGTTATTGCTAGGTGAGGGTTATCTCTCGGACTTACGCTTTCGGCTGAGACCGAGCTGGGACTTGAGCGCTGTAAGGCGGGCAACGGTCTCCTTGGTGGCGCCCTTGCGGTACTCGTACCAGGCAAGGAATCGGGCGGCATACTGGATGGTACGGTAGGTCTTGTCCCTGCCGACGGTGGTGGACCAGAATCGCAGCAGCTGCGAGAGGTAAGGGTGGAGGATGATTTGCTGGAGCGCAGACATGATGGCGGGTGCGGTTCGGATGGTGGTTTGGCGTCAAGAAGCCGGCAGGACAGCAACAACGGCCGAGTCGAGGATGAGCGGGGACCGTGCCTCTCACTCTGCGCAGAGTCGGCTGTGGGGCCCGGCTGCCGAGCAGCTTCTCCGCGCAAGTCGCATTTCACACTCAAAATTCCGTGAATCCCCCTCCGTCTCGGCCGTCTTCCGCGTCCGGGCCATTTTCGACTAACGTCAACCGGAGCAAGCCAGGTCCCATTCATTCCGCTCTTTGGCGCGAGGTAGACAATTGATTGACACTCTGGATTTCAAGCGCTTGAGAATTGCTCCTGTCGTTGCCACGGCTGTCGCCACGAGACACTATCGACGTTCATCGAGGAGAGGTTACCGTGCCGCCTGTCGGTCTGTCGTCTGGGGTGTGGCATTCGTCTGGGTCCGTTCGGCGGGGACTAAGGCGCAGATCCCAATATGAGACCTTGGCACCTTGTTGGGCGTGACGTCCCATATCGACGCTTTGAATGCTCGGATGGCCTCGAGTCTAGGAACATAGATCGATACTGTGGAATTGGCGACGCATCTGCTACCTAGCTAACCAGCTAGAAAGCCTGTCCCTGCTGGCTCTCTTCGCTGGTATCTTCACACAGCTGCGATGATTCACTCTGCTGTTCGCCGTCTCCATCTTTGTGCGTCTCTTGCACGGAGATCTGCAGGTCGGGGCAAGTCTTTTGAAGCTCTTCGAGCTTGGCAAGGAGGGTGGGAGAGTCGAGTTGCGGAGCAGCCATGAGGTCGTCGAGGCTGGCTTTGATAGAGGCACCCAGCCTCTCTGGCCAGTCGTACTTTTCGAGCCTCTCGAGCAGCGCAGAGAGGTCAACGTCAAAGTCGTCTCCCTTGTCCATCTTCAAAGGGGCAGCGTTTGCGCAAAGAAGAGTTAAGCATTCCGATGTCTGGACACCACTGAGGTCGTGGAAGCCAACAAACTTACGACTTCGACAACGACCTTGTCCATTTTGATCGTGCAATGGTTATTTGAGGGATCCAACTGTTGAGCGACTTGTGTGCGAGGCGGAAGAAAGGGGAGCAAGGCTACCTAGCACTTTTTTCGCGCTTTCGTGAAGTTGGGGAGACGAGTCGGGCGGAGTGCGCAGCAGAGAAGCGGGGTTATATACGTTCGGGCTCGGCTCATGCGTTTTGATGAGACTGTGACAGACACAGGAGATCCTCTTTACCTCTTGCGGGATGACTTGCGCAGAAAGCAGACCTTTGGCTTTGCGTTCACAACGCTTTGTTGCGCCGACAAAGCGGGTGCCTGAGCTGTCTCTGTTCCGACGCAGATCCGCAAGGTTTGCGCTTTCTGTGCTTGTGCTCCGTCTTATCCCGGCGCAATCTGCCTGCACGATCTCATTCTGCCTGCTCACCGACGTGTTCCGCGAAGATGCGGAACTCAACGCATCACCCATCGCGTGCATCTGAAGCTTGTTTGCGCATTCAATTCCAAGCCGTGCTGCTTTCTCTGGATGAAGCTCGCGTAAAACACACATCTTGTGAGATTCTCGTGTAAAGTGGGCCAGGTCTACGTTCTCACTGCTTGCGCTTCCTGGACGACACCGAAGGCGACTGGACGAGCGCCTCTTGCTTGGAGCCAGCGGGTGTGCGAGGCGTGCCGTTCTGGCTCGCAGCGGAGAACCCCTTAGAGAGCGGACTCTTGGAGAGACCATTGGCCTTGACCGGAGTCGAAGACTTCTTCGACGGGGCCGCCACAGCCAAACTGCCATTCACTTTGACGGGCGCGTCCGTCTTCGTGACGTCCTCGGTCAGGATCTGGTTCTTGTAAAGCTCCACCAACTCGTCTGTGTCAGCGAGCAGAACGTCCGAGATGCCGCGTTCGCCTGACGCAACCGCGTCTGCCTTTCGTGCGTCTGCGTCCTTCTTGTCTGCGTCGTCGACTGTGGCGTCCAGACGGACACTCGTTGTTGGTGCAGCGCCAGCCGCCGGTGTCGCGATGGCGGGAGGCAGCATCTTGGACAAGAAGGCGTCAAAGAGCAAGGTTGCAGGTGGCAGAAGATGGGGGGCCGTCGAGAAGAGCGAGGCAACTCCCGAGCCCACGCTGCCAGCCACGAGATCGGCATTAGCCATGGGCTCATCCTGGTCATGATCGTCTTGCGCCTCGTCGCGGGCGTCACGGAAGGCCGATGGACCGAAGAGGTCGTCAAAGAGCGTTTTCTTGACGCTTGAAATGCCCCGAATGCTCTCTGCTGTGGCGTCCGCGCCGGCGGCAGTCGACGATGAAGGCGAAGACGAGAAGGTGACGAGATCCATCTCGGTGCTGACTGCGACAAAGTCCTGTGCCTGAGCACGCGCTCCGGCAGGCAGCGGTACGGGCGCTACAGCAGCGACCGAGGTGCGGAAAATCACCCGCTGACCCGAGCCCGATGCTGCCTTGCTGGCGGCATGGGCCGACGCGGCAGCCGACGATGTCGCCATTTCGCGGTCCGAGACCAGCGAGACGGTCTCCACGATGGTCTTTGCCTGTCGAGTCGCTGAAGCCTCTGCCCCAGCAGCATCGCTTGCGTCGGCAGTGGACGACACGAGCGTGAAAAGGGGTCGGTCGGCTTCTTCGGCAAAGTCGGCTGAGCTGGTGGATGGGAGGAGCAGGCTGGCCTGCTTTCCGGCCTCGAGACCTTTGCGCGAGACTTGGCGCGAGAGGATCAGGTCCCAAACGAGCACCGCCGAGCCTGCAGCGATGCCAAGGTAGCGGCCGGAGAAGGCAAGGCTTTCCACTCCGTTGGCCAACTCGGGAGCAGAGATGACCATCGACATAAGGTTGCTCTCGGGGCTCCACAGCGTCACAGAACCGACCTGGCCAACAGCAAGGATCGAGCCGTCGGCAGAGAAGGCAGTGGTAGTGGGAAGCTGCTGGCGGTAGCCGAAGACGGAGCGGCAGGCCCAGTAGCTCTCGTTCTTGCCCGATTTGATTTTGCGCGAGGCCAAGTGCCAAGTGCGCACCTTTCCATCGGTGGCGGTGGTGACGACGAGCGCGTCGGTGGGCGAAAAGGTGATGGAGGTGATGCGTCGTGCGTTGTGGGGTCGGTCGATACGCGTGTTGAGCACGTAACGTCGGTTGATGGGATTCCATCTCCAGAACTTGAGGCTGGACTCGGCGATCACCTCTACGTCATCCTCGCCATCGGAGAGGTTGCGACTGTCAAAGGTGACCATCCACTCGCCGGCTTCGGCCGTCTTGGTGGAAACGAAGGGTGAAAAGACGACGCGCTCGACGCGGGTGGGCTCGATCTGCTCATCTTCCACACGCGAGACGCGGTTGGAGGGGGCGACTTCGAGCTCGGCCGTGTTGGCGTCCTTGGTGGGGTCGTAGAACTGCAAAGACGACGGATGGCCGGCCAAGAGCACGATGTTGCGGCTTGCGGGATGCACGGCGAGCGGCACAGGCGTGCTGGCTGAGAGAGAGGCGCCTGGAAGGTAGCGCGATGCGTCGATCTTGATACGGGTGAAGCTCCTGGTGGGTTTGAGCGACATGGACGAGACGAAGGTGATGCTGCCGTCAGCCAGCGAGACCGCGTACTCCTGCTCCCTTCCGTCCAGTCCGTTGGCGACGGCGATGGCCGAGAGCGGGGCGCCCAGACGCGGGACAAACTCTTTGGAGGCGGCGTTGCCCGAAGCGCCCAAGTGCCAGACGACGAGAACACCCTCTTCGCCTCCGGAGAGAAGTTGGGCGCCGTTGGGCGAGAAGCACAGTGAGGACACGGCATGGGCGTGCCAGTGCAAGACGGTCGAGGGTGCATGCCTTTCCATGCCGTCGTCTGCCTCTGCTTTGGAAGGAGCCATGAAGTTATTTTGAAGGCAGTACCAGACGCGAATGCGGCCGGAAGCGTCACCAGTGACCAGACGGGTCGGGTCGGTGGGGTGGAAGGCCATGCAAGTCATCGAATCGCGCCGATGCTGTGCGCCGGGATGGGAGGAGATGAAACGGGTGAAGCCCGAGGCAAGGTTGTGCGTCCTGGCGACCTGGACCTTGTCGTTTCCGACGACGACGAGCCACTCGCCGTTGGGGGAAACGCCGATGGAGACGGCCTCGCGCGTCTTGCCGATGCGTGAGACTTCGGGGCGGATTGAGGCGCCACGGGCAAACTTGGGCAAGGCGGTATAGGCGTGTGCGTGGGAGGCGAGGTCGAGGCTGAAGTGGGCGATGATGCTGTTGAAAGGCGCGCCGCTCTCGAGCACAGCCAAGATCTCGGAGAGGTTCTTGGGAGCCGTGTCGGCATCGCGGTGGCGGAACTTCTTCAAGAGCACGTAGAGCGTGTTGGGGTTGGACTCGTGCGCGGCCATTCCCGAGATGGGAAGCTGGAGGTCGAAGGAGGAGAGCAGAATGCCATCGAGGAAGTCCCAGACCTTGACGCATCCGTCGAGCGATGCGGTGAGCAGCTGCAGAGGATTTGCCGGGTTGATCATGATGGCGGTGATGGCGGCAAAGTGCGATCCTGGGCCGCTGGAGAGCGTCGAGACGACCTGTCCGGTGGTGCGCGAGTAGATGCGCACCGATGTTTTGGAGACGGCGAAGAAGTAGTCGGCATCGCGGGTGAAGACGACGGGCAGGCGCGATACACGGCCCTCGCTGATGGTTTGGAAGGGCGAGAAAGCGGCAGAGCGATCCTTGGAGCGGAAGATGCTCTTCTTGCTCTTGCGGCTACGGTTCTTGCCCGAGGTGGCCGCCTGGCTCGTCGAAGCGTCTTGGTTCGAGGGCTCCGCGTCGACGTCCATGGCTGCAGAGGGCAGCGCGCTCGGCTTTTCTGCAGCAAGAGAGGCAGGCTGCGCCGCCTTCTTTGTCGGCGACGATGGTGCGGAGCGCGGCATGTCTTCGGCTCCTGACCTTGAGGTCTGTCTACCGGACTGTTGGATTCAAGCCAATAAGCACTGTATGAGGGCGCCCGATCGGCTAGCCGCTTCTTGTGTGGCAAGCGTACACCGTTTGGAGACGGCAGCGGATGCTATTGAAGTGGGGCGAGGTGAGCAGGGACGAGGAAAGTGACAGTCGTGAGAACAAGTGAGGTTGCAGGTGCGGAAGCTGGGAAGCTGCGGAAGCTGCGAGGCAGAGCAGAACAGAGATTGCACTTTCGCGCTGAATTCCACCCAAAAATTTCGTCGAGCCGCAAAAAAGGGCCGTCGCCAAATCTCGGATTTCGGAGCCCTTTCGACTCGCTCGCTTCAACACACGCTGCTTTAAGCTTGTTGCTTTTGCCGAGCTGATCTCTCGGGCCTGGATTTTCATTTTGCCCGATCGCATCCGTCAAATCGGCCGTCCGGTGCTCAAAAATCCCCCCCTCCATCGCGCAGGCCTTTATTTTCCGCAATTTCAGCGAACTTTTTTCTTGATTTTGTCTTTGGGTGTATCTGAGAACCGTTGTTCCCCGCGCGGTCGTTCAGAATCACTGCAGCAATCGAGTGGCATCGGGGAGCATGGCACGAATTCGACGTCGACGACATGCCTTGCCCCGGTTGAGTGGAATTGCATCGGCCGAAAACATAACTTTGCGACCGCCGCTACCGAGCCCACGATGTGTCGGAGGCTTTCATTCATGCGCATGACAGTCGCCGTCTTTTCCACACAAGAATGTCGCGTTTGACCTGGCTGTGACTGTCAGGGTTTGTGCGGCGATGAGAATTTCGAAATATTCAAGGAAGTCGGAGCAGAGACGTTCGCAATTATTCTGCCGAAGCTTGCTCCCGCTGGCCGCCATCGTCACGCAGACGGAGAGCTCAGAGACTGTGATCTTCAATTGAACGGGAACAGAGTGAAGGCTACCTCAGGGGGCTATTCCCACTCGATGGTCGTTGTGAGCTGCTTGAGGTGCGTGGATGCGGACTTTTCTTGACTTTTTTTTTGGTTTTTGGTTTTTGTTTTGGTTTTTGTTTTTTTTTGTTTTTGTTTTTGGTTTTGGTTTTTGGTTTTTGAGGGTCGTTGGGTTGTGAGAGGCTTGAGGTGCGCAGATTCGGGGATTTTTTTCTTCTTATTTTAGCATGTATATCGGAACGGAGCCGGTATGCTTGCTCGGAGCTGCTGAGCCACGAGGCTAGTCCGAGTCTTGCTTTCGTGCCTTCTTGCCGGGCATGCGAACAGAGTCGCTCGACTCGCCAGAGGAAGGAGTCGGAGGAGGCTTCTTACCCAGAGCGACGTTCTCAGCTGAGGGGAACGGCTCCATGTTTTCCTCTTCTTCGGATGAAAGCACAACGATGACGTCCGCAGCGCTGGCCTTGACGTTGAATGCGGTGGCCTGGACATTAGGAGCGCTGACCGGGACACTAGAAGCGCCGGAACGGACACTGGGGGCGCTGGCTTCGACTTTGGAACCGCCAGCCTGAACATCGGGAGCGCTCGCTTCGGCATGAGCAGCGCTCGCCTGGGCATCGGCAGCACTCGCTTCAGCATGGGCAGGAGCCGCAGACTTACCGCCTTTGCCCCACAAAGTTCGAATGTCGGGCTGCTTGAACTTCTTGAAACGGGAGTTGAACGACACGTTCGGAAAGGATTTTCGTGATGCAGTGCCTTCGCTCCTCGTGTCGATGCGGGAGGCAGAGGTGGAGGCTTGGGCTTGCTGCTGCGCGGCCTTGTCGTAGTCGTACTTGTTGAGCTTTCGGGCGCGAGAGGCCGTCGTCTTGGAAGGGCCAACGCCGGCCGGGTAACGAGCTGCCTGATCTTCCTCCTGGTCGTCGATGGCTTCGCTGCCTTCCTGGAGGTCCCTCGCGGTAGGTGCAGTAGGTTTCTGCGGCGCTTTGCCCTTCTTGGGGAACGGAAGGATGGCGGAGGCGCCGCCCTTCTGCTGGGCGAGGAGGTTGGCACGCTCTTCCGCCATCGCCTGAGTCGCCTGCGCTCTGGCCAGGCTGGCCGAGTCCTGAGCATGCTGTGCGATGAACGTCTTGATTTTGGCGTCGGCCTCAGCCAGAGCCGCCTTCAGGGCTTGCACCTCGTTGAGAGGTCCCGAAGTGGCCGAGCGCACAGTATCGCGCAAGGCATCCATCTCGGACCTGAATCGCATTTGGCCGTTCTGGAGATCCCGATTCTGTCGCTCCAGCCTTGCAAGTGTAGCAAGAATCCTCTCGTCGTTGGCCTGACGAGCATTGATGTCGGTCTGAAGAGCGTCGGTCTCTGCCCGGAGAGCGGTCTGGAGAGCGTCGATGCGCCTCATAAGAGCCTCGTGGTCAGAAGGTTCGCTCATCTGCAAGTCGATTGACCGTGATGATGAGGTCAAAGTGTTAGCGAAGCGTTCTATCTTGCCTGGTCTGCCGCTTGCAGTCGCAGGACTTACGGTGTCTGACAGGCTTCTACGCCAGATGGTGGAGTACAGAAAGAAGCGTCGACGGGGTGGAGGAAGGATGGCGAAAGGACGAAGCAGGGCGGGAACGTTAGTCCTTATGTAGTCTTGGACCTAAGATTATAGAATACTTCAAGTAACGCCGGACAGCCGCTTCAGTGGAGCGCTCGTGTGCTCGGAGAGCGCGCTCGCCGAGAATGATTTGATGAGCAGCGAGAAGTGAAGCTCGACACTGCCTGGCAGCACAGTAAGGCAAGCTCGAGGCGCAGCAAAACGACGAACTCGTAGCGGCTCAGGCAATCACACCAGGTTGGCCAATCAAGGGAAGCGGTCTGCGCATTCTCGCGCATTCGACGTGATCCTCACCGCGGCTCAAAGTCTTCTAAGCTCTTGCTGCGCCCTGCACTCAAGGGTGCTCGCGCGTTCGACCTGATTCTCAGCGCGGCTCAGAGCCTTGAGATCTTTTTGCTGTGGGGCTGGCTCGTGGGCGCTTGCGCATTCTTCGGCGTCCCTTTGAGCCCTCAGAGCTCCCATCGCGGCTCAGGGCGTTCGGAGCTCTTTGCGTTTTTGCGCATCCGATTCGACGTAATCCCCACCGTAGGACAAAGCCTTCAGAGCCCTGGCTGCACCCTGAACCCACGGGTGCGAATCTTATGATCAGTAGCTCGAGCTGCATGTTCGCGCGACAGCAGGTGAATGGCTCGCAAATGGCGCGGTCGAGGATCTTCATCAAGGAGCCTGAACCTTGCCCACTGTGATTGATGAGCATGGACGCGTGGGCCAGGCCACATTTTCTCCGAAGTCTTGCATTAACCAAGGCTTTAAGTCACCGGGATGCCCACAAGTCGCGATTCTTCGGAGCGTTCATTCATGCATGCGCGTTTTGCGCAACTGTGTTTCTGCGCATTGTTACTTTCCGGCAGTAAATGTAGGGCGTTGCGCTGCCTGACACTACACAGCCGTTGTGCCTAGTGACCTTTGTCGTCGTGCTCTTGCGCTCGTCGGCACTCGCGAAACTGCGCAGGAAGCTGCCATCTTCCTTGCCTTGCCGCTACCTGGCACGCCACCCACCGCAATCAAGGTTATGCCAAGCGAAAGTCCCTTTGAGTAAAAGCTCGAGTCCACCCGAAATGGCAGAACAAAGGGGTTAGAGCGACAAAGCAGAGGCGCTGAGCTTGGGACACGCGTGCGCGACAAAACCCAAAGAGCTCTTCTGCCGCCACGCAAAGCAGAAAGACGCAGAAGCTCAGTCGTCGGCCCCACAGAATCTTCTAAAAGCTCTACAGCGGCAAGTCCATGAATCGCCAATGACGGAAGCGGCGAGACGGCGCTTGCAAAGGTATATAGCATCCCACTTCTGGCTCACTCGAGACGCCTTTCTTGCTCAGGCCTCTGTTCATCGCTACCCAAGCCTCTGTTCGCCCTTCTCAACAGTCTTTCGAGGTAGGTGGCTCTTTTTCCTTCTTTTCATACTGCTATCGACAGTCACGCTGACTCCAACCAAAACTCTTCCTGCTCCGCGATCTCAGACACATCTGCCAAGTGCCTATATCCACTGCCTGCGCACCGCCATTCATCGACATCCGGGGCCCGTTCTCCGCCCACCCCCTCTGCTCCTCTCGTTTTTCTCACGACACGTCCAAATCTGTCACCATGGAAGTGTTTACGGACCTCCTGCACGTCAATCCCGACCACCACCGCGAGGAGCTTGCACTCCTCGGACGCGAGGGATCCGGCACAGCCTGGCGTCCAGCGATTCCCTGGCCTTTGCCGGTTTCTTCCAGTACGGAAGGCGACACTCTCTTTTTTCCAGACTTTCGCGATCAAGACTGCCCGGAGGATCGGCTAGACGAACAAGGATATCGCGACCTTGCGCTCTCGTACAGCTTCATCAACTACCGAGGTCGCCACGTCCTCAAAGTCGAGCCAGACACGCAGAAGGAGCTGTTCCGGACCTCCTTCGTCTGGAACCTACCCTTCAACGAGGAGATACGCCAACGCATCCTCAGGGGTCCTCCCGACGTTTCGAGCAAGATGGCTTGGACCATCCCAACTCTGAGGGCCAACGCCAGCAAGGACCTGGCAAAGCGCGTCTTTCCTGACCCTGCCGGACCACAAGCGCAGGAAGCTGCTCAAGACGACTCGGTCTCCACTTCTTCTTCGTCTCTGACGCCCGTCAGTGCATCGCCGCGTCCAAGCAGTCCTCGTCGTCAAGTGACTGGACTCAATGAGGGCCGCCTCATCAAGAACGAGCGCGAGAGAGTCAGAGTTGGCTGGAAGGACGACACAGGTGCCCACTTCTGGGCCACCCTCCCTCTCACGCTTGGCTCTCTCCATCTTGCCATCTTTCGCAGCATCGGCGCAAGCACGTCGTTCAGGGTCGACTTCCAAGATAGGCGCTTCAACAAGTCGGTCGGACGCAGGGTTGGACCAATCCTAGAGGCAAGGATTCGCGCGTTCGTCGAAGCCTCTCCCGACTACGCCACCCTTGATGGAGATGCAGAGACCTTCGCAGACTTCTTCATCAGTCTTACTGGCGAGTATCGCGCCTCATTCGAGAGCCCGAGCGCCTACGAGGACCTGGTTTTCAAGCTTCGGGCTGTGCACAATCGACAGTCTCCAAAGCGAAAAGGCGACATCATCTTCGTCAACGATGTTAGGGGGCGTCTGTCGCATAAGAGCGTCTTCGTGGAGGACGGGCAGCGCAAAGGTTCGTTCATATCAGTGCGCATGGACGATCGATTCCGCGACATGTATCTGCCGCGCCTTGCCGATATCCTTTTTTCTCTCAACGTCACGCTCCACATCTCCGTGGAGGAGCAAGAGGGCCAGAGCATCGAGCAGCAGGAAGACCGAATGCTGCACGTTCTCGTCAGTCGCGCCCTTCGCTGCCTCTTGTACTATCCGGTCGCCCATCGCCTTACGACCACGACCTACGAAGAGGCCCTCCATATCGCAACAGAGTGGATGGACATCCTAAGCATGCGCTCGCCGCAACGTCCTCGGCTCCTGCAATACGTGGTGCGCGACACCCAGCCTCCGATCTATGCCGTTCAGCTCCCAGCTCCGCACGACGAGGCGAGAACCACTCTCAGCGTGCATCTGGTCACACGTCATCCGGACCAAGCATCTGCGGCAGCAACCTCCGATCGCATCGAGGACTACCTCCATGATCGCCGCCTCGGAGCTCTGGATCCTCACGACTGTTTCGGCTGCTGGTACCTGATCGACGGGCCTGGCGAGCTCGTGTCGACGTACTGGGGAGGCGGCACAATTCCTGGTGTGACGTTCAACGGCCTCCGGCTGCTCGACGTGGTCAATGCCAGAGGGCTCGACTTGTATCGTTGCGCGCTGCCTGGACTCGCGCAGGATCACAAGGGCTGTGACTCTGGCGGTATGCATCTGTGCATCCGAGCTGGAAGCGGAGCCCAGTCCCGATCAAGACCTTTCGAGTCAGATCTCCGAGATCTCGTGCCACACGAGGGCAGAGGACCCTTGAAGTGCCATGTGCTGTACACCTTCAGCCTCTGCTGGTATCACCAGGCGGTTCGCTCTTCCCTTTACGCCGTTGCCACGGATCGCTTTTTCGAAGTTCGTTGGAGCAGTTGGTCGGACGTCCAGACGCCCGTTGATGGTGCTCAACCTCCACTCTCCCTGGACGTCCTCAAGAGCGTAGTCCTTCCCACCCACATCAAGACCGCGCCTGTCCTCACCTCGCACCAGGACCGGGCCTCGATCGTTCGATTTTGGCTACATGGAGGTGACGTGCTTGGCCAGCTTAAGCTCGAATCGCTTCTCTGCGAGTATCGAGGGGTTCCTGGCAGCGTCTTTGACTGTAGGCTGCTTCTCAACACCAACACTCGGTCGCTGAGGGACCGTCGTGATCTGTACCGAGCTGCGCTCCCTTCGGTCGATAAGGAGGTGCATTTCCTTCGCGACGGATCCCAACACGTCAAGGGTAATCTCAAGATCACCGACCTCCAGCACAATCTTGCCAAAGGACATGCGTTCCTGCCCTTCCATGCGGATCTGTTGGAACTGTCGCTCGTCTGCCATCAGCTCATCTCACCTCTCTTTCCTGCAAAAGCAGAGGCGATGAGACGATTTGTAGAAGCTACACTCAGCGACGACTGGCAGGTGAAGTGCTCGCAATTTTTTGTGTCGCATGCACAACGCCGCACTCACAGCAAAGGCCTACGCCAGCGAAGCGACGAAGCGTTCTTTCAGATGGCTGGCGCAAACTTGATCCGAGGGCCGCCAAGGCGCCTGGTCACTGCCGCCTTGCGCAGCGCAGACATCGAGGAAGCCGAACGAGAATTCGAAGAGCTGGACGACGAGATGGTGTCTGGGGAGTTCGAAGTGGTGGAGCCTTTGAACATTCTTGATCTGAAAGAGGAGCGCAAGGAGATGGAGGTAGACGACGCAGACGAGGGTCGTTGGACCACACGCGCTGTCAATCCTGCGTTCCTTCAACGAACAACTCAAGAGGCAGCGCTCAAGGTCATCAAGGAGATGGAGGCTCACTTCGGCGAAACGTCTGGCTGCAGAGACATGCAGGGCTTTGCCAGGAACCGGGCCGGTCTGCCTGTTCTGGTTGGAGACGAAAGCTGGAACTGGCAGAAGCTGATGCGTTTCTATGCGGACCGCCTGGAACGCTCCTTCGTCTGCGAGCAGGCCAGGCCAGTTGCGGCGGATCAAGGTGACAAAGGGCCCATCGACGACGTGACAGGAACCCATGCCCACCTGTCGGGCTACGAGCAAAGGTCGCCGGTCACGCTGCTCCTGACGCACTACCACCAGCAGCTCAAGTACGGCACTGGCCGTCGATGCCACCTCACCGGCCTTGCCCTGGTTGCCGAAGTCGGGCATCCCCTCAAGATCAGTCTTGGACACCGCGTGCACGGCTGGAAGATGTGGCACGGCTGGTCCGCGCAGGTACCTCAGTCCTTCTCCCAGTTCTGCGAAGAGGCGAACAACGTCGTCTTCGAGTCTTGGTGGGCAAACAGCTGGCGACGAGGTTGGCGTTGTCTGCGGGCAAGCCTACCCAGACGGCTTCTCTGGGCTCTGGACTGGCTCGAGGCGGCCAGCATGTGTGACGTCGTCAAACACTTCACTCACGACGAGCTGGAAACGATTCGGCTGCACTACGAGAATGGGGGCACGGAAGCTGCGCCTTCGTTCGAATGGACAGTGGGGACCGACCCCCTTGTCGATATCAACGTGCTCAGCCCTGCCGAGCAGAGCATCGTCTGGCAGAGGGTCTACGGCAGTCGCACCTGAAACTTTCAGCTGCATTTCAACCTTAGTGTGCCTCGATTCGCTCCCTTGACTCGTCCTGTATATAGACTTTTTCCACCCGTCCTGTGTATATAGACTTTTTCCACCCTTGTGGTGCGAGGCTGATGGCGAGATCGGCGACATGCACAGTGAATGGATCGACAAGGTTGATTGACAATGGTGAGGCAAAGAGACAGCCCAACGACGCCAGTTGCCACAGCTTGTGGATGCAGACGTGAGGAGCTCACCACAGCCCATGGACGTGGAACAGGAGAGCCCGATACCCTCGATACCTTTGATACCCTCGATGCCCTCAATGGCCTTGATACCCTCTCGATACCCTCGATACCCTCTCGATACACTCTCGATACTCTCTCGATGCCTTCGATACCTTCGATATCCTCGATGCACACGATGCACACGATGCACACGA